TGTAAAGAAGATGGACATTGGAAAGCTGAATGCCCAAAGTTAGATCGAGCCGAGAAGAATAAGGGAAAAGCTGTACAAGCTCCAGAGGTGAATGTTGTCAAGACTAGTGGCAACAATTCAGATTCGGATTCTTCAGGCTATTCGTTGTCTGCACTACCGTCAGTTTGTGTTGCCAACTCTACAGAGTGGATGTTGGATTCGGGTGCTTCATACCACGTTTGCCCTAGGAGGGATTGGTTCTCCAGCTTTCAGAAGTTGGAAAGAGAGGATGTTGTGCTCATGGGTAATGGACATGCATGCTCTATTGGTGGTATTGGTACCGTTCGGATTAAGATGAGTGACGGGATGGTGCGGGAGTTGGAAGAAGTGAGGTTCGTTCCGCAGTTGTCGAAGAACATCATTTCACTAGGAGCTTTGGTGACATCTGGCTATAAAGTGACCTTGGTGGATGCACGTTTGAAGGTCACATTGGGGTCCATGATTGTGATGAAGGGCGTCAGAAGGAGCAATTTGTATTATTTACTTGGAAGCACGACGATTGATAGCGAGATGACGACTTCATCAGATTCGGCTAGACTGTGGCGTTGTTTGATGCTGGGTTATTTGATTGGTAATGCCGTGCATAGGTTATTGAGGAGTGCTTTGACCTGCAGTTTGAAGTCCTGTGAACCCATTGGTATGAGCGAGAAGACCGAGATGGAGTTTGGCACTTCTATCCATCATTCGAGGGGTCTTCTGAGGGGTGTTCATTCAGGCATTCGGGGGCCTTCCAAGGGAGCATTATTGGGAGGTAATACGTATGTGGTTTTCGCAGTTGGGGATTGCTCTAGGTATTGGTGGGTTGCAACCAAGTCCCGTTGGTGTGAAGTCCTAGAAGCCCGCAACAAATGGAGGAAGTGTATTGGCAGAAAGGTGAAGGTACTTCAGTCTGATGTTAGAAGGAGGTACAAGAGGGACCTATACCTGCATTTGTGCCGAGCTCACGGCAATAGGAAACACTTCATTGGTGTGGAAACTTTGAGGCGACGTGATGAGATGGCAGATTTGGGAAGCTGTTCCTTTCTGGAGGAGGATCGGCATTTGATGTCGAGCATTGGCATTGGTGTGCAGGCTACGACATGTTTAGGCCATCTCATGTATAGGTTGCCGACTGCTGCATGTAGAGATTTTAGATCTGGTAGAGCTGCTTTAGATTTTGGATTGCATCGGATGTTTGGCTACCCAGCACTTGGTCACATCGGGGATGTGAGATTTGATCCGATAGCACATTTGGGATTCAGAGGCGTGTTTGATTATCAGGTATTGGCTTCTGATTTTGTTCTGAGCAGGTATGTCACGTTTAACTCTCGGCAGGTGGAGAGTGGTGATCAGATCTTTAGGACATCGCAACGGGTGGAGAGTGATGCTACTCCACGTTGGGTGGAGACTCCAGATCATACTATATCATTTGGGATTCCAGCTGAGGTGACACAGATTGGGGATCATTTGGATTTGGATGTAGATGATGAGTTGGATTCGATTGCAGTTGATGGACTTGATTTGGATACGGCCATTGGTTCACCTCAGATGGAGGTGTTTGATTTGTCTCAATTTGGGGCCATTGAGAGTGCTATCAGTTGCAGATCGTTTGGTAATATTGAAGAAGAGTTACAGACTTTTCTATTTGATTGAGGACCTTTGGAAGCCATTGGGTGAACTACGTTCGACTTGATTCCTTGGGCAAGAGGATATGTAGGCAGTCTTTATGATGCAGCTGATTTGGTGAGCGATATCGACATTTGGGGTGAGTATTCACACTCCCATTTGGGTCTCAGCAAATGAGGCATTTGGTGTAGTCGGTGTAGGCTCAGTTTGATTTGGTGAGTAGACACTATTTGGTTTGGATTGAGTGTTCGCACTCCCGTTTGGGTCTCGACCTGTTGTGGATGGAGTCCGTTGTCATGAGTCCGTTGCCATGACGTACTGGATGCAACAAGCGAGACATTTGTTTTGGTTGGTGTCGGCTCAGTTTTGGGAAAACTTCACCGAGGTGGAGAATTGTAAACACGTGATGGGGAGGGGGCCACCACATGAGCGAATGAGAAATCAGCCCCTCGTTTCCGCGTGATTAGCAGGCCAGGCCCACCCGATCTTCACACTATAAATAATGGTGTGGTTTCCTAGGGCAAATTGGTGCAAGACGGGAGTTATCTTCGTAGCCGCCAACGAAGAAAAAGCAAAGGCTTAGGCGTGCAGGTAGGGAGAGACGCAGTCGAAAGAAAAGAAAAGAAAAAGTACGGCTGCTGATGAGAAATTAAAGCGGCGGCTTTGGAGCAGTGCCAAGGTGGATTTGGAGCAGTGCAAGGAACAGATAGTCTTTTCTTTGTTTTTGGCGACCGTCTTTTGTTTTGAGAGAGATAATTGTTGTGAGGGGTTTAAGAGATTTTGTGAGGGTTTAGATTGAGTGATTGTAAACCCTAGTTGTGTTCTCCCCCTTTAATAGTAGATCTCCCCCCTCCTTGCCCCGTGGACGTAGGCTATTTGCCGAACCACGTAAAAGTTGTGTTCTTGCCGTGATTTGTAATAGCTTGTAGGATCCCTCGACATGTCAGTCCTAGAACTGATGAGAGGAAGAGCCGATATCTCACTTGGTTGAGATATCCGCTTCAGATTCTTGTTTCCTTGGTGAGACGGGAATTCTTATCGATCTAATCTCTCTTGTTGTGCTGCCGAAGTGCTGCCGAAATTTTCGCTGCGCACAACATTAAAGTCCTAAAACTTTTAAAGTTAGTGGGGCTTTCTATCAAAAGTTATTAAGGATATTTTGATTATTCAATTAAGCACAAATGAACTAAGGGTGTTAACTTTAACACCATGTTTGGATGGGTTGAATGAATGCTAAGGGAAAGTAGAGGGAAATTAATTTTGTTTGGGAGTTTGTTTTTTTAAAGAGAACGAAGGAGAAGAGAGGCCGAGAGGGACAAAATTTCCCTCAATTATCCTACATCATATCATATGTAATTTGATCTCCCCCACAACCCAAAATGGAGTGTAACTGGACCATCATAATATGAACCTAACCGTTATGAAATGATTCTCCTTCATTCTCTTTACTCTGAAAAATAATATTCCATTTTTCATATTTTCCCTCCCTTTTCTTTCCCTTCTTCCATTCTATTTTTCCTTTCTTCTTTTCCTTTTCCTCTGTTAGCAAAGCTTGCAAATATAGTGTGAAAGTCTTCTACCAAAAAGTACTCAGAGTCTAGTGAGCATTTTAAATTTTTTGGGAGGTTAGTGCAAAACGTTGAAAATTATTTAGAATTTAATGTAGCTCGCCCTTATATTTATCCGAAGTTGGACTATAGTGCGAAACTTTGAAATCTATTTAGGGCCCGTTTGGATCGCGTATTTTGAAGGGGAAAAGAGGGGGAAAGCTGCCAATTTGTCAGTTTTTTGACAGCTTTCCCCCAAAATCGCCTCTTATAGATTTTGGGAGAAAGCTACTAAAAAGCTGACAAATTGACAGTTTTCCTCTCATTTCTCCTTCGAAATACCCTATCAAAACAACCCCTTAGAATTTAGGGTGGCTTGCCCTTATATTAAGGGTATGTTCGGTTATTTCCTAAAAATCAAGAAATGGAAATGGAAAAAGTGAAAATCTCAAAAAGTACTATTTCTTCCATTTCCATCCCTAAAACTCACCCACAACGTCCAATAAAATATTATTTTCATCCAACAACTCATCCACATCATCTAATAAAATATTATTTTTATCTCATCCAACAACTCATCCACATCATCTAATAAAATATTATTTTTATCTAACCACTCATCCATCACATCTAATAAAATATTATTTTATCTAATAAAATATTATTTTTATCTAACCACTCATCCATCACATCTAATAAAATATTATTTTTATCTAACGACTCATCTATCACATCTAATAAAATATTATTTTCATCCAAATATTACTCAACTCATATCTTCTCATCATTTCAAATCACTCATATCATCCAATAAAATATTATAACAATTCACCTCACCTCATTAACATTTCATTTCTTCATTTTCATCCCAAAAAGTTATGAAAACACTTTTCTTAATCTTTCTTCACATCACCCAATAATACAATGACAACTCATCTCATCTCATTTCATTTCTTATTTTTAAGAATGAACCAAACAAAAGAAAACAACAAACTACAGGAAATAGGTTTCTTATAATTCATTTCCTTATTTTTTTCGCCAACCAAACAACATCAAAACTAGTTTTCTTAAAAAATTACTCACATCATCCAATAATAATATGACAACTCATCTCATCTCATCTCCATTTCTTTGATTTACTTCTTTTTTTAGGGGCTGTTTGGTTCGTTTCCTAAAAACCAAGAAAAGGAAAGAAAAGCATGGAAATCAATAAAATTTGGTTTTCATCATTTTCCACCCTTAGAAATCTCCCACATCAACCAATAATATGGTGACAACTTATCTTATTTTTTATTTTTAAAAATAAACTAAACACAAGAAATGGGTCACATCAATCAACTCATCCAACTCATCTCATCTCATCTACTACCATCTTTAAAAACCACTCACATCATCCAATAATATGGTGACAACTCATCCTATCTCATTAACATTTCATTTCCACAAATTTCCTCCAAAAAAGCTAGGAAATCGATTTCCTTAAGTGTGGGTCACATCATCCAATAAGATAATGACAACTCATCTCATCTCATCTATTTTCTTAGTTTTAAAAATAAACCAAACACAAGAAATGAACCAAAACAAGGAAAATATTTTCCTTATAAGTTTTTTCCTTATTTTTTTAGCCAACCAAACATAAGAAAAGAACATCAAAATAAGTTTTCTTTAAAAATCACTCACATCATCCAATAATATTGTGACAACTCATCTCAACTTATCTTTTTTTTACTTCTAAGAAGTGAACCAAACACAAGAAACATCCAATTATGGGAAATATGTTTCCTTTTCTTTACTTTCCATGTTTTTTTAGCGAACCAAACAGCCCCTTAGCCAACCAAACAATTCAAAAACCTATTTTTTTAGAAATAGGTTTTATTTTTTTGATTTCCTTTTTTTTTTAAGGCAAACGAACAGACCCTAATCCGAAGTCGGATAAATTTACAGATCCTCTCCTTTCTTGAAAAGTGCATCTTGGATTCGTACTAAGAATCCTGTCCAAATCCTTGTTACAGTAACGAAGCGGCTTCCACAATATTTGGTCGGGCCTTTCTTTTTGATACCAGCATTAACTACTGTTAAAGAAACAGTGACATCGAACTCCAAAGTGCGAACCTCAAAAGTTCAAACAGTTGCAATGTGAACATGGGGGCCTCTTTCCTTCTCATTCCTTGGTCCTTAGCTGTCAAACAAAATCTTGGGAACCTAAAACCCCTGTGTTTTCTGCTTCCTCATGCTTCAATCTGTCAGAACCTCGAACCTGTATCAGCTCAAATCAAAATTTGCTTCTTCAGTTGAAGCGTTCAAAGCTTTTTGGGTTCTAATTTTAAGGTACCCTCAAAACTGTTGTGATTTTTCCTGGTTTTAGGCTGAATGTATATGCTTACTTTTGGGTGTGTATGCAATTTTTCTTCCATTTTTGAGCTGCCCATTTGCTCAAAATAGTAGCTTTATGATCCCTTAGTTACATCTTAATCAACTGTTGATTTTTTGGGCTTGCAATGTTCGATCTTTTAGGCATTTATTCAGTGTTCATTTCTAGTTTCTGGCCGTTCTTGTGCAGCAAATCAGGATTCGGGATTAATGAGCAATGCTCTCCCCCGTTCAGAGTTTGTTGGATTTGAACCTGGGTCAGTTTTTAGGGTTCCGTCCTTTATTATGAGCTACTTCTAGCTTTCAGCTTCACTTTGTGCACAAAATTGTGTCTCTGTGGACTTTTTTGGGTTCTTTTTAAAGAAAGATGGATTCTATTTCATGTAAAGCACCCAAAAGCTCCTCAAACATCTCTGAGTTCTTAATTCGCTTCTCCAAGCTCTGCAAGAGGAGATCTTTCGCAGGTTTCGCAGTCGAAAACCCCAAACCCACCAATGATTCGAACACTGAGGGCAGCGAGGACAGCAGGGATCCAAAAATCTACCCTCAACCTTTTGATGACACACTGATTAAAGAAAATCTTGAAGGTTCAGAAGACACTACAATGTCAAAGCTTTTCACAGCGATTTCGGCTCTTAAATCTGCATACGTTCAGCTCCAGCGAGCTCACATCCCTTATGAACCCAGAAAGATTCAGGATGCTGATGAGCTCATTGTGTCTGAGCTTGATTCCATTTCAAGGCTAGAGGAAGTCTTTTATAATGGAGAGCAACGAAGAAAGGCAAAGTCTCTGTTTTCTTTGTGTCAAGAGATTCGAGAGCATGAACAACTGATACTCGAGTTGCAATCAAGAAACCAAGCCAAAGAATCTGATGTCCTTCAGTTGAGACAAGTTGTCGAAGAGTTGGATCAAAACTATGCAGAATTAGAGAAGGAGGTCAAGAAAAAAATGCCACCTAAATATGATATTTCTCTGTTTAATCAAGAATGGACACCAAGTGTTTTCTTTGATGCCTTCAAGTTGACATCAAAAGCAATTCATGACTTCACAAAGCCGCTGATTAGCTTGATGAAAGCTTCTGGTTGGAATCTTGACCAAGCTGCTGATTCCATAGAGAACCAAGCCATCTATACTGAGAGATGTCACAAGAAGTTTGCCTTTGAGGCCTACGTCTCTCGTGTAATGTTCAGTAGAAATCGATCCGAATGGTTTAAGCTAGACCATTTTGATCGAGTCTTGAGGTTTTCAAACCCCTTTGATGCTCTGATAGAAGACCCAGATTCCAATTTTGGGAAATTTTGTCGGTATAAATATGTTCTGTTAGTGAAATCGAAGATGGAGAGCTCGTTATTTGGTAATTTGGACCAAAGGGAATTTGTTCTGAGAGGTGGGCATCCAAGGACGCCATTTTATCAAGCGTTTGTCAGAATGGCGATATGGGTGTGGGCTTTGCAGGTGATGGCTCATTCCTTCATTCCGAAGGCTGACGTCTTTTATGCTAAGAGAGGGAGTAGGTTTGAAGAGGAGTATATGGAGAGTGTCGTGGACTCGGCAACAGATAGAGGAGAGCAAAAGGTGGAGGTGGGTTTTACAGTGATGCCCGGGTTTAAGATTGGGAACAATGTGATTCGATGCAGAGTTTATCCGTGCAAGATGTAAATCCTCAAGCAATTTGCTTTGATCCATTGGAGCTCTGGTAAGGTAAGTTTCGACTATGTGACATTTTAATTTACCTTTCACTGACCTTAATTGTTTCTTAAAATTAAGGAGTAGGAGCTTGAGGTGATACATATGTTTGTGGAGTTGTAAGTTTCTTACTTGATTTATGGCTTAGATTGATATGGATGGAAATTTCAAAACACATGTACATCCTTGTTTCTTCGTTTCCATGGAGACACTTGATTTTAAGCTCAATTGTTTGGTTTGTGAAAGAGAAGTGCATGTAATTCGTGGTCATATTTCCGAACTAATGTCGTAAATGATGTCAACCATGAAAGATGACATGGTTATGTAACTGTATGATTCTCAAATTGTTTTGGCATAGAAAACAGTTGAAACTACATCTATAACTTTTATTTTTATAAATTGGAACTGAAACTGCAATTTTATTTCAAGTGGTTTTGCAAATGGTTTTGCTTTTAGGAATATACCCTTCGAGAAAAATGATACATTGAGGTATGTTACAAAATCACACTATATCTGTAAATATTATGGAAAGAATAACTAGTGATATCGATATTTGTTAGCAGATTTCATCAGGAGAAAAACTTGGAGAAGAAGTTGGTTGATTTGGATTTCTCTAAACATGCAACATGAATATAGCGTCCAAAATTGTCCTTCTGCCTTGGCTCGCCCCTGGTGTCTTTCTTGCAAACTTTGCAGGTTTTGTCGACCCAGCCTTCTTCCACATATTCTCCATCAACTGTCATTTAAACCATAAGAAAACACAGTAATTGCAAAATTTATATTAGTTGTTATCGAAGGAACCTACACTCTTAAAGTGTGATCCGTTAAAAACCGTCATCTATCAAACACGCATAACAATTTGAATATAATTGGACTCTCTTCTTGAAAACTCGTCGAGTTTCTAGTAGAACTATGTCAATTGCTCTTACTTTCCTGATTTATCAGCAATTCTGCATGTTTATTACCATTCTACATGTTAGATGAAATTTCACAACTTTAACGGTTTATCAGCTGAATTTTTTTTTATATTTAGTGTCTACTCTGGGAAACGCATCAACAGTTTATTCTGATGTAATGGCTGGTGATAGCCAAATAGGTAACATGTGCCCCTAAAATGATGCCCTGTAATACAAAGTTAAACTATCCTTGTGGGCTGACAATCTTATGCAACAGAATATAACATGATTTTTATTTATTTATTTATTTTTATTTTTATTTTTTGATAGCAAATATACTATGAATTAAGTTTATGTTTCTGATATAAAAGAAGATATATGTCTTAAATAATACTTTTGTAGCAAAATTTCTCCCTTTCAATTTGTCAATGCAATATGATATAAGAATTTACCTTCAACATAGGACTTGAAGAAATCTTTGTAGGTGCCACCAATCTTTCTCCTAAGTGCTCCATACTTAAAAAACAAACCAAAAAAACATATATCAAACCTGCAATAATCAAAACAAGGCAACAAAGTTAAACTAATAGCATTTAAAATTTTACCTGTTCTCTGGTCATTTGTCCTCCAGAGCTTGTAGCTTCCCTTGCCTCCTCAAGAAGCTCAGCATCCTGGGACGACCTGACCTGAGAGAAGTCGAGGGCCTCCGTTATGCTCCCAAACAAAGACTGCTTGCTCTTGCTTTTGCCATTCTCTTCTTCTTTATTATCTTCGGTCTTGGCTTGAACCCTGCCTAACTTTGTGGTAACTCTGTGGGGCTTGAGAGTTGAAGTATTATGAGTGAAGAAGGCTATGGATGGAGAGCTGAAGTTTTGAGAGGGAGGAGAAAGAGGGAGAGCCCTTAGACCCATTTGTTCTCCTCTTTGAAACTACAGATACAAGGAGCAAATAGAGGGTTACATGTTTGTATAAGAGTGAGTTTGTGTGGCTGATGCATTTTGTTTGGAGCTATTTGTTGAGTGGACAATGGAGATTCTGTGGTCAGAGAAGGGGGATGTGGCATGGTTGGTTGCCTATTGAAACTTGAGGAAAGGGTGAAGTGAAATGGTTGAATCAAGCCCCTTTTTTGTTTCTGAATTTGTGTGGCATTGTATTTATTTCCTTTTATACTATAAATCTTACACCACTTGGTTCTACAAGAAACGAAAGTATGGAGCTGTTGATGACTTATAAATTTTGATAGCAATTCACGAAGGAGGATACAAGCATTTATCAAATCTCCTGTAATCTCGAGAAGATGTATATAGTTTGGTTACTTGGAATTTAGCTGCATAGTCTCAAACATATTTGCAGTTTGGTTGCTTGGAATGGAATTGCAGGCTTGCGGCATTGCATTGTTTTTTTTTTGGGAAAATTGCTTCCAGCCCCCAAAACAACACAGAACGTGCTCTGCCCCCCCAAGACCTTTCCAAGACCTTTTCAACGTTCCTTTTCCCCCCAAACCCGCCCCCGATTTTCTTCCAGCCCCCAAAACGAATCCCCAGGCCACCTTCCGTTTAAACACCGCTCGAAATGCCCAAAATACCCTTCGCAGCATGTGTTCGTCGCCCTCTCACGACGGAAACCCATCGTTTCGACTGTAGGCATTAAATGGTGATATGAATGACTTTTTTGGGGGGGGGGAAATTCCCATTTCCCTCCAAAATTATCATCAGATATTATCACCAGCTATATCCCCCTTCAAGCTAAGTTGTTCCTTCCACTTAATTATCCTCAATAAAAGCCTCTTCGATTCTTCAACCACCCCCTCAATAAAATCCTCTTCGATTCTTCAACTACTCACTGTAATAAAATGACGGATGGATCTCTTCTATGCGTGGTAACGAAGGCAAAAAGCAACAAAGGTGGTGACGGTGTATTCGTCGTTATCAAAGAGAATACAGAAATAATCAGCTTGAAATATCGAGTGGCGGAAAGGCTTAAAATACCAATGCAATCTCTTTCACTGAAGTTCATATGCGAAAGGGAAAAGAAATTCAGCATTTCAATTGACAATGACGACGACTTAAATTTGATGTTCGAGTATCTGTTGTTAAACTTATGGAATGGTAGCTAACATTAGCTCCTTGTTGTAATGCTTAGCTCTCTGTTGTTAGGCTTATGGATTAAGAAGATCACGGGGTCGTATTGTTGATGTTATGGTTTTGTTATGAAAGATCATGGACTGGCTGTCAAGGTTATGTGCTGGTTGTCATGCTTATGGATTGGTTGCTAAGGTTAGCGCCCTATTGTTAAGGTTATGGGTTGGTTGCTAAGGTTAGAGTCCTGTTGTTAAGGTTAGTGCTCTGTTGTCAAGCTTATGTATTGGTTGTTAAGGTTAGATTTCTGTTGTTAAACTTATGGAATGGTAGCTAACATTAGCTCCTTGTTGTAATGCTTAGCTCTCTGTTGTTAGGCTTATGGATTAAGAAGATCACGGGGTCGTATTGTTGATGTTATGGTTTTGTTATGAAAGATCATGGACTGGCTGTCAAGGTTATGTGCTGGTTGTCATGCTTATGGATTGGTTGCTAAGGTTAGCGCCCTATTGTTAAGGTTATGGGTTGGTTGCTAAGGTTAGAGTCCTGTTGTTAAGGTTAGTGCTCTGTTGTCAAGCTTATGTATTGGTTGTTAAGGTTAGATTTCTGTTGTTAAACTTATGGAATGGTAGCTAACATTAGCTCCTTGTTGTAATGCTTAGCTCTCTGTTGTTAGGCTTATGGATTAAGAAGATCACGGGGTCGTATTGTTGATGTTATGGTTTTGTTATGAAAGATCATGGACTGGCTGTCAAGGTTATGTGCTGGTTGTCATGCTTATGGATTGGTTGCTAAGGTTAGCGCCCTATTGTTAAGGTTATGGGTTGGTTGCTAAGGTTAGAGTCCTGTTGTTAAGGTTAGTGCTCTGTTGTCAAGCTTATGTATTGGTTGTTAAGGTTAGATTTCTGTTGTTAAACTTATGGAATGGTAGCTAACATTAGCTCCTTGTTGTAATGCTTAGCTCTCTGTTGTTAGGCTTATGGATTAAGAAGATCACGGGGTCGTATTGTTGATGTTATGGTTTTGTTATGAAAGATCATGGACTGGCTGTCAAGGTTATGTGCTGGTTGTCATGCTTATGGATTGGTTGCTAAGGTTAGCGCCCTATTGTTAAGGTTATGGGTTGGTTGCTAAGGTTAGAGTCCTGTTGTTAAGGTTAGTGCTCTGTTGTCAAGCTTATGTATTGGTTGTTAAGGTTAGATTTCTGTTGTTAAACTTATGGAATGGTAGCTAACATTAGCTCCTTGTTGTAATGCTTAGCTCTCTGTTGTTAGGCTTATGGATTAAGAAGATCACGGGGTCGTATTGTTGATGTTATGGTTTTGTTATGAAAGATCATGGACTGGCTGTCAAGGTTATGTGCTGGTTGTCATGCTTATGGATTGGTTGCTAAGGTTAGCGCCCTATTGTTAAGGTTATGGGTTGGTTGCTAAGGTTAGAGTCCTGTTGTTAAGGTTAGTGCTCTGTTGTCAAGCTTATGTATTGGTTGTTAAGGTTAGATTTCTGTTGTTAAACTTATGGAATGGTAGCTAACATTAGCTCCTTGTTGTAATGCTTAGCTCTCTGTTGTTAGGCTTATGGATTAAGAAGATCACGGGGTCGTATTGTTGATGTTATGGTTTTGTTATGAAAGATCATGGACTGGCTGTCAAGGTTATGTGCTGGTTGTCATGCTTATGGATTGGTTGCTAAGGTTAGCGCCCTATTGTTAAGGTTATGGGTTGGTTGCTAAGGTTAGAGTCCTGTTGTTAAGGTTAGTGCTCTGTTGTCAAGCTTATGTATTGGTTGTTAAGGTTAGATTTCTGTTGTTAAACTTATGGAATGGTAGCTAACATTAGCTCCTTGTTGTAATGCTTAGCTCTCTGTTGTTAGGCTTATGGATTAAGAAGATCACGGGGTCGTATTGTTGATGTTATGGTTTTGTTATGAAAGATCATGGACTGGCTGTCAAGGTTATGTGCTGGTTGTCATGCTTATGGATTGGTTGCTAAGGTTAGCGCCCTATTGTTAAGGTTATGGGTTGGTTGCTAAGGTTAGAGTCCTGTTGTTAAGGTTAGTGCTCTGTTGTCAAGCTTATGTATTGGTTGTTAAGGTTAGATTTCTGTTGTTAAACTTATGGAATGGTAGCTAACATTAGCTCCTTGTTGTAATGCTTAGCTCTCTGTTGTTAGGCTTATGGATTAAGAAGATCACGGGGTCGTATTGTTGATGTTATGGTTTTGTTATGAAAGATCATGGACTGGCTGTCAAGGTTATGTGCTGGTTGTCATGCTTATGGATTGGTTGCTAAGGTTAGCGCCCTATTGTTAAGGTTATGGGTTGGTTGCTAAGGTTAGAGTCCTGTTGTTAAGGTTAGTGCTCTGTTGTCAAGCTTATGTATTGGTTGTTAAGGTTAGATTTCTGTTGTTAAACTTATGGAATGGTAGCTAACATTAGCTCCTTGTTGTAATGCTTAGCTCTCTGTTGTTAGGCTTATGGATTAAGAAGATCACGGGGTCGTATTGTTGATGTTATGGTTTTGTTATGAAAGATCATGGACTGGCTGTCAAGGTTATGTGCTGGTTGTCATGCTTATGGATTGGTTGCTAAGGTTAGCGCCCTATTGTTAAGGTTATGGGTTGGTTGCTAAGGTTAGAGTCCTGTTGTTAAGGTTAGTGCTCTGTTGTCAAGCTTATGTATTGGTTGTTAAGGTTAGATTTCTGTTGTTAAACTTATGGAATGGTAGCTAACATTAGCTCCTTGTTGTAATGCTTAGCTCTCTGTTGTTAGGCTTATGGATTAAGAAGATCACGGGGTCGTATTGTTGATGTTATGGTTTTGTTATGAAAGATCATGGACTGGCTGTCAAGGTTATGTGCTGGTTGTCATGCTTATGGATTGGTTGCTAAGGTTAGCGCCCTATTGTTAAGGTTATGGGTTGGTTGCTAAGGTTAGAGTCCTGTTGTTAAGGTTAGTGCTCTGTTGTCAAGCTTATGTATTGGTTGTTAAGGTTAGATTTCTGTTGTTAAACTTATGGAATGGTAGCTAACATTAGCTCCTTGTTGTAATGCTTAGCTCTCTGTTGTTAGGCTTATGGATTAAGAAGATCACGGGGTCGTATTGTTGATGTTATGGTTTTGTTATGAAAGATCATGGACTGGCTGTCAAGGTTATGTGCTGGTTGTCATGCTTATGGATTGGTTGCTAAGGTTAGCGCCCTATTGTTAAGGTTATGGGTTGGTTGCTAAGGTTAGAGTCCTGTTGTTAAGGTTAGTGCTCTGTTGTCAAGCTTATGTATTGGTTGTTAAGGTTAGATTTCTGTTGTTAAACTTATGGAATGGTAGCTAACATTAGCTCCTTGTTGTAATGCTTAGCTCTCTGTTGTTAGGCTTATGGATTAAGAAGATCACGGGGTCGTATTGTTGATGTTATGGTTTTGTTATGAAAGATCATGGACTGGCTGTCAAGGTTATGTGCTGGTTGTCATGCTTATGGATTGGTTGCTAAGGTTAGCGCCCTATTGTTAAGGTTATGGGTTGGTTGCTAAGGTTAGAGTCCTGTTGTTAAGGTTAGTGCTCTGTTGTCAAGCTTATGTATTGGTTGTTAAGGTTAGATTTCTGTTGTTAAACTTATGGAATGGTAGCTAACATTAGCTCCTTGTTGTAATGCTTAGCTCTCTGTTGTTAGGCTTATGGATTAAGAAGATCACGGGGTCGTATTGTTGATGTTATGGTTTTGTTATGAAAGATCATGGACTGGCTGTCAAGGTTATGTGCTGGTTGTCATGCTTATGGATTGGTTGCTAAGGTTAGCGCCCTATTGTTAAGGTTATGGGTTGGTTGCTAAGGTTAGAGTCCTGTTGTTAAGGTTAGTGCTCTGTTGTCAAGCTTATGTATTGGTTGTTAAGGTTAGATTTCTGTTGTTAAACTTATGGAATGGTAG